TCGCTGGGGCAGTGGTGGGCAATCCGGAGACCACCAACACCACCACCGACCAGAAACCATCTCAATTTGGATGGAAGGAAACCACCAGCAACTTCGCCGGAGTTGCCATGGAAGAAACGAAAGAAGGAAGGAGAGAGGAAAGCTGCGCAGAAGAGAGAGGCGCAGGAGAGAAAGTGACGGCGGGTAGGGTTACGGAAGAAGGGAAGGGGTTTTTAATATTAAAACCTCTCCCCAGCCCATCAAACAGGCCCAATACAAACCCAATTAAAAATACCCAATGGATTTTTTATTGTGGGGCAACTGATACAATGTTCTTTGACCGTTCCGATTTTAATTCCTTAAATTGGTCTAAGAAAACCCATATTCAAACGGCCAATGGGGATTATTCTCGTGTCGAGGGCACCGGTCCAATATCTATATCGACATCTATCCGACTCGATAATTGCCTCTATGTTCCCACATTGTCTCACAAATTGCTGTCAATAAGCCATGTCACCAAACAGTTAAATTGCATGGTCCTAATGCAACCCACTTTTTGCTTATTAAAGGATATTCGGACGGGGAAGATCATTGGGCGTGGTTCTGAGCGTAATGGACTGTGCTATGTTGATGAAGTTGATTACTACGGAACGGCTATGCTTGCTCATGGGACAGTGGACAGGCAGGCATGGCTGTGGCACCGTCGTTTGGGGCATCCATCTTGGGGGTATCTCAAAATTCTCTTTCCAAAATTATTCAATAAATCATGTCAGTTTCATTGCAACAGTTGTATTTTAGCCAAAAGTCATAAACATTCATATCCGCTAAATAACACGGTTGCATCACAACCTTTCTCATTAATCCATTCTGATGTGTGGGGTCCATCTCCAGAACCAAGTCCAAATGGTTATCAATATTTTTTACTGTTTATTGATGATTGTACCCGTATGACCTGGGTGTACTTTCTTAAACACAAATCTGAAGTTTTTGAAAAGTTCACATCATTCTATAAATTGATCCACACACAATACCAAAAACAGATATGTATTCTTCGATCTGATAACGGAGGAGAATACATAAATCATCCCATGGAAAATTTCTGTAAGGAAAAAGGTCTTATCCATCAAACCACTTGTCCTGACACCACTCAACAAAATGGCGTTGCTGAACGTAAGAATCAGATTATACTCGAAATCACTAGGGCTCTTATGATCGAGTCCAATGTTCCGATTTGTTATTGGCCCGAAGCAATTGCAACCACCATTTACCTCATAAATCGCCTTCCGAAAAAAATCCTAAATCACAAAACACCCATTGATACACTTGCAAAATTCTCCACTGTTCCTACCTCCTTGACTCTCACTCCTTGTGTGTTTGGTTGCACTATATATGTACATATTCCAAAAGCCAAACGAACAAAATTTGATCCTTGTGTCGTCCGATGTGTCTTTGTTGGGTATGAGATTCACAAAAGGGGATACAGATGTTATGATCCTATTTCTCGTCGGATGTACACGACAATGGATTGTAATTTTTTGGAAACTGAGTACTACTTCCATAACCACTCTAGTAGTCAGGGGGAGAAAATCACAAATGACTCTCTAGAGTGGTTACACAGCCCAGTCTTGCCACCAGTACATAGCTCAGTCTTGCCACCTGAAACTGTCCCAACCGAGGAAGTAAGTCGCTCTGTCGGATCAATTTTTGAGAACATTGAACAGTCCAACAACTCAGATCTCATGTCTGATTCTACTTCGTCTGAAAAGACTCCTGAGGTTAGTATTTCTCCCACCCATGATGATGGCATTGATAAATCTAATGATAGTGTGGAAGAATTGAATATGTCAAACAGATATGTTCTCCCACCACGGAAGAATCGGGGAATTCCTCCAGTCAGATATGAACCAGAATACATCCC